TTTTAGATATCAGTAATTCAGCCTATTTTTCCTTTCAGGGAATAATGATCTATATGTAATATTCTACGCTACATTAAATCTATGTGAATTTGCAATTCACGTGAAATTCAAATTAACCAATCAGAATTTCATATCCAAACACCCACCCAAAATTTTAATTATAAATTTCAATTTCACATACAACATACATATACACAAAAATGACTTTTTCTTCACAAAACATAACCGTAACATCAAAAACAAAAAAGCAATTTATCAAAATTATAATGTTAGCTATGATCAAAATAACAGATGAGGAGGATTTGATCGTCAGGATCTGAATTGCCAATTCTTCAAAGTTACACATAGCTTTTTAAAAACCTCTTTGGATGCAATGGGTTCATTCAAGTAAACCAATTGATTCTTACTGAGCATTGATTGATTTTTGAAAAAGCAATCACATGGATTAAAAAATCTACAAATTTTATTAATACAAAGATTTAAAAATTGAAAACGGCAAAAAAAAATTTGAATCTAAAAAAGGTGGCGGGCGATGATGATGAAACTGATATTGACACGATTGATAAACTGTACAATTAGAAAAAACACAAGGTTTCCCATAAAAACCCGTAAGGACGTACCAAAAAATTTATCAAACAGATAAACTCCAGCTGAATAAAGAACTATCAATGGGTGGATGATGTGACTTGGCTTGGGCCATTACTGTCAAATATTCGACTTTATTTTATAATGTTAAAATTAGTCATAAATTTTAAGCAAAGCCCCTATGATTTATTTGTATGACTAATTGTGAAGACAAACAACAATAACACCAACAGAAGAGGAGAAGGAATTATTCCAAGATGCCTTGTGGCTATAATATAAGATTAAGAACTATTTAGCTCTTAAAACCGATAAATAAATCTGGAGAAAGAAAAAAGAAAGTGGATGATGATGGTGGTGGGTCATTCGTTGTATTAAACCAATCGATTAAATCAACCAGAAATGGTAGCTATTAAAGGATGAAAAAAGTTTATATGCAATACTCCTAAATGTAGGTAACAGACTAAGCCGTAAATATGCAGCAGCAGCAGCAACAACAACAACAACAACAACAACTACTACTACATACAAAAAATGGAAATTTAAACGATACGACTACAAGGCTTACAGTTTTTCTTTTGTGGATTATTTAATAAAGTAAACTGTTGCTTATTGGATCGAGTACAATCAATAACAACTTCTTATTTAGTTACCCATTCAAACAAAAAAAAATCGATGATCGTTAAATAGATTTATTTATTAGTGGAGAAGATTTTGTGTGGCAAAATGACGTTTATTAATTATGTATATCGGATAAACATCCAAGGGGAAAAATTGGACGAATAAAACAAGGCAATGATCCCGATTTTTACGATCCAAATAAATAATTGATTGATTTTAATAATAAATATTTATTATTTATTATTTTTTTTAAATTTTAATTTGAATCCCTGTAATTTTTGCATATTTGTGATAGACACCTCAAATGTAACGTGAATTTATTTTTTTGACTCTATTTTTGGGACGTGTTTTCTTTATCAACATTATATCCAAGACTTCTTTCGGCAAAATAGTTCAATTTCATTCATTAATATTTTTTTTCAAACTTACTAGAATGTGTAGATTGTAAACTTTTTCTATATGTATTGTTGATCAATTGGACTCGAGCCAAGGAGATTGACTTGCCAACTTTGTAAAACTTTAATTTTTAGATGTCTCCCTAATCCATTTTTTACCGCATGCATGAAAGAAGCAAGAATTGCCATCTTAAAGCAGACATCTTTCTTGTTCTCATTAAAATGAACTAGTTGAAGCGGCAAGTTGCGATTCTAATATGTTTCAATGTAATAACCAAGATTATTCATTCATTCATTCATTCATTCACTCATTCATTCATTTTTTATTCATTCATTTATTTATTTTTTTTTTTTTTTTTGTTTCCATAACTTGCTTGTTTTTAAATTACAAGAGAATCATAGAAAAATGTGCTTCCAAATGAGAATTGGTTAGCTAACCGCTTTCTTTCGAATAGAGTTCATCTTCTTAACCTTCTTTTTGTCGATTTTCTAAAATATATATAAAAGCTATTTACTTACCAACGTTGATGTTTGTTTGATCAAATGTTTTTAAATTTTTGATCGTCGTCTAGAAAGATTATTTCTGGGCCTAATCTAATTTGACTTCTATTCAAAATGTACGTGACCGTAACCATGGGAAATAAAGAGCACAAAACTATCTATCTACACTAATAGTTTATTGTCGTCTTTTTCCTCTAGTAGCCATTATTTTTATTTGGACATGTCAAGATGGGAGTTTTTTTCGTCGCTCATTATT